GAAGGGTCTATTATGTGCCTATCAGTAGATGCCGCCGTAAGCATGACTTACTGTCGGGCGACTTGGTCATCTACATTGACACCGTCGTTTTAAATGTCAAGAATGTTCTATTTTCTTACAGGAGCGCTTTGAGATTTCATGAGGTTAAATCCACCGCTAAAATCGACATTTGAAAAACATTGGAGCTCGATATAAAATTTAAAAGCGCTAACAAAGACGAGGACAAAAAGGAAGGCGAACAGGACGAGCGCTTACTCTCAATTGAACATTTATTTAAAAACAGCTAAAGCAAACAACCTCCGACAAAAATACACTGAATTATTCAGTGGCGTCAGTCATCACCACGTGTCAATAAAATCACTCTCTTTTTGGTGCAGAAAAATTGACGGCTGGCTGACGCAGCCTTCAGTGCCCTCCTTCAAGCACTGCATGCGCTTCAAGCAAAAGAGAGTGATTGTATTGACACGTGGTGATGACTGACGCCACTGAATGATTCAGTGTATTTTTGTCGGAGGTTGTTTGCTTTAGCTGTTTTTTAAATAAATGTTCAGTTAAGAGTAAGCGCTCGTCCTGTTCGCCTTCCTTTTTGTCCTCGTCTTTGTTAGCGCTTTTAAATTTTATATCATGAACCAACTCGCCCGCTTCGCCACTTTAGTATTGGAGCTCGTTCCGTGCAGGCACCGATTTTTTCACCTAATATTACAATCAGCCCCTCCATTCATTATATCTCATAAAAAGGCCAAATGTCTACAAGCCTACGTGCAATAGGACTTCCTGCTCTTAGCGTTTATTTTAAATTTGACCGTTTTGCCAGGTGTCCTATTTTGTAGGGACAGATTAGTTTCTTTATATACGGATTTGTGCTTTATTCGCACGATAAAGATAGATAATCATTACAGACGAAATCTAATAAAAATATAAGTAAAAAAAATAACTGAGTAAAGGCCGGTTTAAACCAAACCGGATTGCGGCGTGGGAAAGGGTAGAAAGCACGTTTTGCGGTCAGTTTGAGTACATAAAAGAAAATTGGATAAAAGGGAAATTTCTCCTTCCCCCTCCCGGAAACTGTCCCTCTACCTTCATTAGCATCGTCGCTCTCGCCCATGCGTTGTGGGACCCGGAAAGTTGAAAAATATTCAAGTCTGGATGCGGGGAGCGTAAGCCGCAAAGCATCACCAGCTACGTCATATCACCTCTAAAAGAAGAAGAAAAAAAAAGAAAAAGAAAGCGTTTGTTGTTGTTAGCAGTTTGGAATCCGGGTTAGTATGCGCCGGCCTTTAGGGGTGAACCTCAGAAGGGTATGTACTTAGGCGAGTTGGTTGAACATTGTAGAAAATAAAAGCGAAAAAAAAAAAACACGAAAGACAAAAAGAAAGCAGTTTTTTATATATATATATATATATATATATATATATATATATATATATATATATATATATATATATATAAAGTGCATTGGCTTTAAAGCATGCCCGGTGAACCTCACTGCTCGTTGTGATGGGTCAAGGACGCCGTGAATACAGCCCAGATGTCTCCTAGCCTCCGTTCACCCTTAAATGCCGACGACCAGACTCGAGATTCTGCACGGCAGAAGATCCTCCTCTCCATGGGGGAGGAGGACAAGGCAATGGTGGACAGGGTAGAAAGGGAGAGGAGGAAGCGAGAGAAAAGTGGAAAGCGCGAACTGATCGTCGGCCTTTAAGCTGAGACCGCAGCCAAAGCCACAATCACCTCTCCTGGCTTTGAGGCATGCATTTCTAGCGCGAGCGTTCTTTCTGCGGCAGAACGCTTCAAAGCAGCGACCTCGAGCTCTCGTGCTTGTGGCACTGCATGGCTGCAGTCTCGGATGTAACGGCATGTCTTGTACCGGCATGTATTGTTACGGCATGTCTTGTAACCATTCGTTTTGGACAAAAACGGGTGGTTATCGTTTGAGCCCGTTCTCGTTTCGACCTTCTCACTTGGCCCTTCTCAAAACAACCTTTCTCAAAAAGATCTTCTCTCTTGGACCTGTCGCATTTGGTCCTTTCCCGTTTCGTCCTTCTCATTTCAACCCTCCTTATTTAAGTCCGTTCTCGTTTCGTCCTTCTCACTTGGCCCTTCTCAAAACAACCATTCTCAAAAAAATATCTTCTTTCTTGGACCTGTCGCATTTGGCCCTTTCCCGTTTCCTCTTTCGGCAATCCTGCCCTCCTCATTTGGGCCCGTTCTCGTTTCGCCCTTCTCACCTGACCCTTTGCAAAGCAGCCATTCTCACAAAATATCTCGCTTTGACCCGTCGCACCTGACTCGTTCCATACCAAAATCGTTTTTTAGGGTAATATTAATAAATGCATTGATATATTTCGTGCGTGTGTCTGTATGCGCCACGCTACCGGCATACTCTCTCTGCTAAGAATTTTAGCAGTGCGTCGAGGTCGTCGTGAAAAGCTACTAGCTGGCAATAAAACAGAGCAACTATTTATCGCAGTCAGGTCATATTCCGAAATGTCACGTTGTTTGAGGTCTCTCGACTTGGGACAATGCCACCCCTTCTATAATTCAGTGTTCAAATGGGGGTCTGTGAAGGCATCCTAGGGGTCCGCGAAGCTCATCAGTCACGCACGGCATTATTAGTTGTCTTTCTTCACGCTGAGAAAGAGCGTTCCAATTTTCGGGTGAGTACTGTCATGCGTATGTCAATAAGATAAGTCTACTTCACACTAGCAATTAGTTATATCCATTTATTAAATCATTATCATCATAACCTATACCTTTCTATTACCCTTACCCCAAACGGGGTTCGCCACCATCTCCGCCTTTCTACAAGAGGTCCGCGAAACATCAATGGTTGAGAACCACTGCTATTTTGTATGCTATTTCTGTTCAAACGAAGTTTCCAAATTAAATGTTCATCGTTTTTGTTTTTTTCGTTTGTTTAGAGGAAGGGAAGCAGGCGTCATTGTACGGTTCTCAGTGCGCACCTCTACACATAACATGTATCTGATGGTATGTTGGGCGCCCAAGCAAGGTAAGGCTCACTAAGAAGCCGCGAAGGTATAATGACGTTATGAGGCTTGCCGAACTAGTGCCATTCGGTCGTAGCACGAACGGGCGAAATGAGAATAGGTCAAGAGTCGAAAAATACAATTTGGATCTTATGAGAGGGTTCAAACAAGGCGGACCAAACGAGAATGGGACGAAATGCGCACGGTCAAAATGCGAATGGAACGTTTTGGGATAACGGGCAAAATGAGAATGGGTCCATTTGCAAAAAACACGATTCGGATCTTATGAGATTGTTCAAACGAGAAGGACCAAATGAGAAGGACCAAATGAGAATGGGTGGAAATGTGCAAGGTTCAAATGCGAATGGGACGTTTTGAGATACACCCGACAAAAACAAATAATAAAATAGAGATTTTTTTTTTTGGTAGGAATAGACCCTTCCCGAAATTCAGTGCCATCTCGTGGTTCGTATAGGAGTTTAGCTTTTGCCATAACAATGGCGGTAATGAACTTGTATTTCATCGGACACCGTCACTTTCGCAAGTCAAGGGCACGCGAGGAATTGTTCACTGTGAGTTCTTTCTCGACCACTTTCAGTTCAATGGTGACCAAGAACTTGCAGAACAAAGGTCCAACCCACACAGATGCCTCGATAAATTTCTATCCACCAAAGGGGCTTAAAGCCGATTGTGTGCCGCCCACAAATTGACTGAATCTAAGTTAGAAATGAACGCTTACGTAGCTCTTGTGTTCCATTCCTATGCCGTGTTGTACTAACCCCACGAATGTACAGGCCTCGCATCATCTGCTTAGGAGCATCTTCAACGTCTTCCTTTATCACTCACTAGAAGGCCGCCATTGGTAGGACACCGATGCCGTTCCACAGATGATGATAGTGATCAATGTGGCCAGACTGAATTTCGGAAAGGGTCTATTGCGTCAACCATGCTGTAAAAATTAAAATTAATTCTGGAAGTGATTTACATAGATTTAGATCATGGAGGTCGGAATAAGAGGAGGCGACATAGCGGCTTGCGCCAGCCAAACGAGGAATGCGAGAAAATCCCGAGTGAAGCCGGAAGTAAAGATCACGATCGGTGGGAACGGCCCCAAGGGTGCCCAAGCCCGTCCAATAGCGTCTTTTGGTTGTGGTCATCGTTGGGGGCGTGTCCCTCCAAACCGGAAGTCTCCTCGGGCTTCACCTTTGGTGGCGTCATGTCGCCTCCAGGAGCTTTCCTACCTCCGGTTTAGATGCTGGCTCAACTTTTGATGGTGACGTCACGCACAGGATGTAGCAGTTTCTCTGCATATTTGTATCAATAGCGAAGCGGGGATGCGGTCACTTCCATTGTATTAAACTGAAATTCCCCTTCCAGTTGCCTGTAATCATGAATATTTTGAAGGCAACGAGACACATAAAAAGTTGCTGGGCAGCAAACAATTTACCGAATCCGCGTTGATGAAGAACAGTTTTACAACACTGCGAGACCTCTTACGAAAACGAAAGAAGGTCATAGAAGACAATGTAGACGGCACGGACAAATCGAGATTTAAAAAAAAAAAAAGATTACTAAACCATTAAACACCCCAGAGTTGATTACAATAATCCCTGGAGAAGGGGAACAAGGGGGACAAAGAACAAACACAAAGCTCCAAACACAGCTAGGTGACTGGTGCTCGACCGATTCCAAAACCAGGCGGATTTTTTCGATCGCTCACCAGTCACCTAGTTGTGTTTGGAGCTTTGTGTTTGTCCTTTTTCCCCCTTGTTTCCTTTCTCCAAGGATTATTATCGTCATTCTTGTTCAGCTCGCTTGCACCCTTGTATAAATTGCATTATCATCAAGCACCCCAAAGTACTTTTTTTTTTTTTTTTTTGTGTGAAAGATATCGTCCGTTGGATGTGAACTGCGTCCCGATGTAGTTTTCTCATCTGTTTGCTTTTGGTCCTCGATGTTTATCGAAGCTACATCATCAGAGAAATCATAGTGTGTCTTAAGTTGCGCACGTACCGCTGCTGTTTGAGACTTTCGTCGTCACCAGCGTGATGTCCCGGATGTAGTGCTTCGGCGTGGTGAACAGGGCCACGCTCCGGTGGATGCCCGCGTAGTTGAAGAAGTCGAACGGCACGTTCTGTTTGCAGTAGTCCGGAGGGTATCTGCAGCCGCCGGCCAGACACACACGCCCAAAGGCAAGGGTTTACTCGCTCGCATGTAACGGACCTGTTTTATGACTTCAGCGAAGTATTGGGGGCCCGCTGGTCAGGCAAAATTGCGGACAAAAGGAGGTAGTTTTCATCCTTCAGCACGCGAAACATCTTAGATTACTTGCGTTGCAGCGTAGAATCGATGTTATATATAAAAACAAAGTGCTTTTTTCGATGGTAAAATCCTTTTATAGTCGGTGTGCAAGAGTGACACGGGGGAAACATAAATATATTATGACTGAAAAGGATGTTTTGTTTTTGTCTCGTCAGCTCCATTCGCGCATTTCGCCGATGCTATGTATACGCACCTCTTGGGGTCCCGGGGTCGGAACACGGAGCCCTGGGGAATGGTGCTCTCGGTCAGCGTGTTGTTCACGGCAACCGTGACTCTGTTTTTGCCGCCGTACAGCAGGGCCTTCGTCACCTGCACGTTCAGGGGAGGGCATGCAGTCCACGACATAGGCTTGACCGACGTCAACAATTATGCAGTTTGTCGCTCAGATGATCGTGCCACGTAGATGCTGTGGGTCAAAGAGGTCGCAGTTCGTGGGGGTCTCTGTTACCACCTCCTTCCTCGGACCTTACACATGCATGCACATGGTTAGGTATTTTGCTGATCAGTTCCACCACAAATCAGGTTGTGACCTGGCTGGATGTTAGGTTACAATGCGCAGATGCCAACTCTATTTTCTATTTACAGAAACGTCCTGCATTGTCGAAATGATGTAACAGCTATGGCATAATAATAGAGATAAAAAGGACTCGGGTGTGACTGTGAAATATGAACGGGTAACATGTCAGCAAAGTCTGGTAAAAAACGCACAAAGTTAAGCTACAAACATGCAACTTAAAGGTCAGGATCACTGCCCGAAAACAAGCGGTCCCATGGTAATATTAATAATGGCAAACTCGAGAAATGCATTCCACTTGGTGATTAATTAATTGTTAGTGCCACGTTACGAATGTTGGGAGATAAAAATGTGTTTTGGGTTTGTTTTGACGTTGTACCCTGTACCAGGGTGCAAGATGATTTAAATTCAAGCTTTCGCTCAAGAATTATCGCGCAAATATTTTTAGTTACCGTCTATTTATCATTTAATGGTTTCTTTCTGTGCGGTTTTTTATATTTAAATCAAATAATCACTAAGGGAAGAAGTATTTATATCCGGCTAAACAAGAGCAAAAAGCAGTGCTCGTCCGAGCAATCCGACATTTGTTCAGCCCTTTTTATATATTTCACTGCGTTCGTTAGTTGCGTAAAGAAAATCAGAACACTGAAAGAAGAAACGAAAACTAGAGAGTAATGTCTTATTAAAACTATTTAAACAAGGAAAAATAAGTTTTTGTTTTAATGCGACTAGTTTACATCAATAAAATGTTGTTTATTAAACTACTTGAAATTTACAGGAATTTTTTCTTCCGCAATAGTATCAGCGATAAGAGGGATTGGTGAATTTGTGATAAAAATTCTCTATTTTCGTGCTACAGTGATTTAGAACAAATTAATAAATGAGATAAAATAAATTTGATTTATTTCATTAAACAACAACACTTTTTTTCTTTTTTTTTTTACTTTGCTTTGCACGTTTGGTCTTTCGGTGGAGCGGCGTGTTGGTTCAAAACTGAGTGAAAGGGTAACTCTCTGTGAAACGATATGTAGAAACTGAAAGAAAAACAGCTTGTCTGCGATAATGAGCTGTAAGGGGATAATTGGAAAATCACAAAGAAAGAGAGGCAGGTAAATGAAGCACTACGTCACGGCACATTATCCACGCTTCGCATCGATCGCTTACGCACTTCACGTAAAACACGCTCATATCGATAAATATACTCTATCCGGGCGTGTTACGCGCGTAATAATATACGAATTGGCCTACACCTCTAGAGAGTCGGCTCTGCCACCACCTCCTACATGGCAAGGCCGTATAGTGCTATAGAATTTTACGTCACCAACCGGAGGCTGCTTCGTCAGCGTGGGACTGGAGCACGCGTGTGCAGTCAACAAGGACACGTGTCCCTGCCTCGATCAGATCAGTGGCCCTCGGTATGTGAAGTTCTGCATCCGGCATTATATGGCATTGCTATCTTGAAGGCGTTGTCTGTGCCGAGATGGATCGCTCCTTTCTTCAGTGAAATACGGAATGTACAGTTTCGTCTAGAACCACTCGTCCAAGGTTTAATCCAGGGTAATGTCACTGGATCCTAGGAAAGTAGAGCCAAGATCCCTGTGTGGTTGCCATTTTGGTTCATGGAACGAGCAGGTTTTCTTTGACCTCGAGCCGATTTAGATTCGCTGGTGACGCGTAGCTTTATATAGACGTTTCTTGAATGCCGAGATTTCGTTATCCACACACCGGCGAAACAAGCGCACATCTTCTCGCTGCTACGATATGCGGCGCCGGTGCTTGGCAGCACTGAAAAAATAAATTTGCTGCCTTTAAATACGCAAGGATAGCAATGCAATTGTAAGATATCTGAGGAGATAATCATGATTGATAAATGAATTGCATGCACAGCGGCATAAACGCCTATATCGGCGAGGAATGCTTTCAACCCTTTCGAAGCGTCGAAGATTTGAATGGACCGAAATGGCGATTGGCCATAGCAACTCGAACCGATCAACCAAACAACCTGTGAAGTTTGGTCGTCTGTATCCTCGCGCTTTGCGGCCAAACCAAAATGTTTTAGGGTTGAACCCTATACAGTCGACGCTAGCGCTTGGAGTGGCTGGCTGGGCATTAAGAGCGACGCTGCCTCCACCTGGCTCCGTCAGCTCAGCTCCAAACCTTTGCATGTTACGGTTATGTACGTTGGTACTAACAGCGTCATGCAGAGGCGGCCGTGGATGCTTGCGAGCGATATCGCGCATGTTCATCTTCGCATCGATCGATAATGTACAGCTAGGGAAGTACGGTTCAGTAAAACATTCTTGAATATCGAAAACACGAAATTATGAAACAGATAGGCACGAAGACAGGCAGTACAGTTCTTTTGACAAGCAACCGACATTTAATGATGCCACCCTCCATGCGTCAGCACATCCCTTCCGTGACTCCAAATTCCCTCGAAAAAAGTAGAACCATCCGTGTCGACGAGCTGTGTACCCGGGTGCACGAGCGGTTACAGGAGCAACAAAGAAAAATAGCACTTCTTTAAACAACCGGCAGACGTCGAAAAAATAAAGAAGACGAAACAAACTAAACACATCTCGGCAAGTTATCATGTGTGTGATCTTCACTGAAACAGCGGCGATGTTTTGACAGCTAAAAAAAAAAAAAAAGTCAATGACATTTTGGAGGTACAACGAGGAAGATAGGAGCTGGTTCCGTAAGTGATGTGGAAATTCCAAAACTACAACTTTTCCTGTCTGCGCCCGCTCGCGGGTCAAGGTCGCAATTGTTACAGTTCTAGAACATGCATCAGGATAAAACTCGGAGCTGACAAAAACCAGAGGCTCCCGCGGCGCTCTCAGCGCCCATGCCAGCCACGCGTGGCGCTCGCGTCGTCTATTGGGCTGGCGCCAGAAAGTTTTTGACTCGGGCACAAAGCCTTGGCGAGATAGGAAGCTCCGTAACTGGTACACGAAGTGCTTCTAGTGGTATGTTGGTCTGTATCCGTTTGTGTCCGGCTAGCAGGCAGTGAAGGCAATGGCGCTACTTTTAGAGAGGCCAGTTGGTCCAGTTGTTTGAAAGCTCGATGCGCTGAAGAGAACAAGCATACATCATACGAAAGTCCGTGTGCAGAGACACTGGCTGAGGTGGCAGTCCTTTCACATTGGTCGTACAAAAGACCGTCTGCAGACATGTTCTTTGAGACAGTGAAGCAAACAGGTGCTTCGAACGTGCTTGAGGCGTGCACGCCAGATGCCTCTGTCATCACGTCTGCAGTAAAGTCCCTTTATCCAGGGAGGTTAGTCTGCAGCGGGGGAGCGAATTGCGGGTACTTTTTATGCAGAGAGTTTCCAAGAAACAAGAACCGTTTTTTTTTTTGGGGTCCAGGTGGGCGGCAGCGGCAGCGAACTGTCGACACGTCTGCTGAATCTCTGCTTCTGTATTTTGCAGCTGCCAAAGCCTGGTGGCCCACAAGTTATAAGTTCTCCAGGGCCTGGTTACCAGTGTGACATCTTTTCAAGTTGTGAAATCAAACCGAAGATTTTTAGTTTTCATCGCGGGAGCCAAGAGGTCAGGCTGTTCTGTGCAGCAAAATCGCCCAAGACATCAGCGGCGCCAGTGACATCACTCATCGCTAAAAGTTTCTACGGGGCGTTTCTTCGCATTTGGCGGCAGCGGCAGCGAACTGTCGACACGTCTGCTGAATCTCTGCTTCTGTATTTTGCAGCTGCCAAAGCCTGGTGGCCCACAAGTTATAAGTTCTCCAGGGCCTGGTTAACAGTGTGACATCTTTTCAAGTTGTCAAGTCAAACCGAAGATTTTTAGTTTTCATCGCGGGAGCCAAGAGGTCAGGCTGTTCTGTGCAGCAAAATCGCCCAAGACATCAGCGACGCCAGTGACATCACTCATCGCTAAAAGTTTCTACGGGGCGTTTCTTCGCATTTGGCGGCAGCGGCAGCGAACTGTCGACACGTCTGCTGAATCTCTGCTTCTGTATTTTGCAGGTTGGTTGAAATATTTTTTATAATTTTATGTTAGCTTTACTCTCTCTGCCGCTGCTGCCAAAGTGCGGTGCCTGATAGTGTACCCTCGGTTTGTGCATTTGTCATGTCACGGTGCTGCGTATGCCGGTTATCTGTTCCCGATAATGGCCCATCGATCAGTTGCTCTGAATGTAAATTTACGTTTCATTTCGGCACTTGTTCTGGTGAAACCGAAGAAGCGCTGAAACTAAAACCTGAGGATGTTGGGAAAACGTGGAAATGTGAGGCGTGCAGGGGGGTCAAAGGAAGGTGCAATGAAACAAAAGCGCAGAAATCGGAGGTAGACTTCTCATTACTGCTGCTGGGAATAAGTAACAAGCTTGACTCGCTCATGACCTCGCCCAGTGTGATCGGAGCTATTGAGAGGTCTGTACAGGTACTCTCGGATACGTTTGACGACTTCCAACGGCGGTTACTTGAACAGGAAAAAGCCACTAAGGAGCTGACGAAACGAGTAAATCTGCTGGAGAGCGTTGGTTCACCCAATAAACTTGCTCAAATTAGGCAAGATTTGGATAATCTTGAGTGGCATAGTCGTCGCTTGAACGTCGAAATTCATGGCATCCCAGAAACACAAAACGAGGATTTGATGAACAAAATAAATGAACTGGCAAAAAAACTGGAGGTGCCGCCTGTGGCCCAAAATGACATTTCAGCTTTGCATAGACTTCCAGCAAAACCGGGCGAAAATCGAGGAGTCATTGTTCGTTTTACAAGTCAGGAGCTTCGCGATTCTTGGCTCCGAAAAAAACAGGCACTCAAGAAAGGAA